ATATCTATCTTAAACAAACAGCAATGTCTTTTTTAAAAACAGGAAGGTAAAATGGGTCTTTTCTGGGGGTTGGCACCAGTGGGAGGGGGAGGATAGGAGGAAGGGTGTAGGAGGGTGAATGTGATGGAAATTATTATGTACTCATGTATGAAAATGGAACACTGAGACCTGCTAAAACTGTTCTAAGAATGTTGGGAAGGGAGATAAAGGAGAATGATGGAGGGTGAATTTAACTAAGACATATTGTAAGAACTTTTGTAAATGTTGCCATGTACCCCCATACAACAATAATACGATAATAATTTTTTTTAAAAAGAATGCTAATAGAAGCCTAATCCATAATAGTCTCAAACTGGAAATAGCCCAGGTATGCAGCAACAGGAGCAAAGGCAAACATTGGTTCATTGATCCAATCAAATCTGATTCTGCAGTAAGGAAGTACCGGTACGTGCAACACCATGAATCAACCTCGAAACACACTGCTGAGCAGAAGCCTGGCACAGCAGTGCATGTTGTGTTATTCCGCTTACGTGGCATTCTAGGGCAGGTGAAATTAACCTATGATGGTGAAATTGGAACAATGGCTGGACAGGGTGAGGGGAGACTGGGAAGGGGCCCAGGTGATGGACTATTATATATCTTGATGAGGATGTGGTTTACATGGGGGATACATATTGATCAGAATTGACCGAATTATGCACCTCAGATCTAGCACTTCACAGTATACATAGTATATCTTAATTCATAGATTTTAAAAGGCTTAAAAAGTAAGAGTGATGTCTGTGAAGAATGTGAATTTGAAGCTTGATTCTGCCTCCTTATCAACTATAAAGAGAGTGAGGATCGGCACAGGGTGGGGTTGTTGTCAGGGCTGAAAACACACATGAGAAGTCCCCAAAAGGCTCCTAAGAAGGCAAAGCCTTAACTATGGTGCCTTTGTCTCCTGTGGTCCTAGCAAAGGGCAGGGCATGTTGACAGACATGGATAAGTGTTTGTAGAACTAAATTAATGTCATCTTAGAAATTCTGTGGAAGTACTCAGGCTGCGACTGCCATTCAGACAAATTCCACTATGAATACTACAGCCCATGTTTACAACTGAGCAAATTTGGGTAGCAGTAAAAAGAACACCCAATAAACTATTTTATGTCCAGTCCTACCATAGATCCTCTCCTCCAAGATAAACAGTGGCAGGTGCTACAGATGGGCCTGGGTAAATATTTCCTACTTCTTAAGGATGAGGCCATGGAAATTTACCTATATTACAAATCAAAAATTGAGTTTCATAGTTAATTTCAGCACTAATTTGCAGGATATTCATTTATAGTTTTATGGATACATTAAAGGACAGTTTTGCTGAGTTGTTATTTTTCTCAGGTACAAGAGAAAACAACTGAAAAGCCTATCCTTAACTTTTTTCTTAAATAACACTGCATTAAATAAATGCAGTGTTTTATGAGGTCAGTCAAGTGATGTTTTTATGAGGAAAACAGCTTCAGTATTTTTACTCACCTTGCACATGAAGGAGTGGGGAAGGCATGGGACCTGGACCCAGATGGGATATATTTATGCCCAGCTCCAACCACTGTGTCACAACGAGCAAATTTAAGTGGGGGTTACTTGATACTCACACAAGGTTAACACAAGAACAGAATAATTTACATATGTAATATATGTAAGAGGTCTGCCTCAAGTAACTTCACAATATGAACTGTTACAATTGTTACCACAAGTAGAACATACATCTATTAACAATAATAAACATGGGGCAATAAAAATTAAATAAAAACACAATGTATCCTGATAATAGCAAAAAGTAAATTCTACAGGGCACCTGGGAAGGTGTCATTGGCACTGATTAGCACTGAATTCTAGAAAATCTAGAACTGGTTCTCATCACTGTATTTCAGCTATGCAACCTGAAGATTCAAATATTGTTGGGATAACAAAAAAGCTAATTAGAGAATTCTTATTTTCTTATTGTTTTTACTAGCATATATTAACAGTACAAGGGGGTGTCATTGCAGTAGTTCTATAGATGTGTATACTGTACTTTAAACAATTTCACCCCAAAAGTCTTTCTTTATGAGATGCTCCCAGTCCTGTCACTACTGCATTGATAACTGTTGATCCAGAAGTTTAACCCAGAGACTGAACAAGTCATCTTCTAAAGAATTACCATACAAAAGCTCATTTCATCCTCAGTGCAGTCTATGAGCAAAGTGGAGCCAGGCCTGTCATCTGCATTTTCCAGATGAAAAAGTAAGAGTTTTCTCTGCATGATTCATACCCATCACTTAGTCCTCTCTTGAGGGGTAGCCCTTCTTTTCCCTTTCATAAAATAGAAAATATGGTTAAGTGCATTCAAACTACCTCATTATTTTCCAATATGATTGTTGTTATTATAAAAGTAAAGCACAGGCCAGACATGGTGGTTCATGAGTGTAATCTAGCTACTCAGGAGACGGAGAGCAGGAGGATTTTGGTTCCAGGCCAGCCCAGGCAAAAAGTTAGTGAGGACCCTCCCTACCATCTCAACAAATAAGCCAGGAGTGTCAACACACATCTGTCATTCTAGCTATAGAGCTATAGAGAGGCATAGGTAGGAGGATCACAGTCCAGGCTAAACTTAAACAAAAAACACGAGACCCTGTCTGAAAAATAGCTAAAGCAAAAAAAGGTCTGGGATCATGGCTCAGGTGGTAGAGCGCCTGCCAAGCAAGCACAAGGTCTTAAGTTCAATACCAGTTACTTCCCCCAAAAAGTAATACCACAATCATTGCAGAACATTTTGAAAATGAGAAAAACGAAAAGATGTCCCACTACCCAAAGAGGAGAGAAATCCAGTTGGTGTATTTTTTACTCTTTTTCTTTGTACATTATCACACATTACTGCTTTTAGAGCCTCTGGACTCTAACACATAGATAAAACTATTTAGGTAGCTGTTCACAAACACCAAAATTTCAAAACCCTTTCCTGTTTGATCATTGAATTCTCATCCAGACTAAACTCACAAAGGAATGCTTCTTCATAATAATATTAGTAGCTAACCACAACAGCTATTAATAGCAATTAAGTAGTAATTGAATTTTATTTTCTATTATATATCTCCATTGGATAATTTTATTAGAACCAAAAATTGCTTTGCAAGGAAGTTTAAAAAATATGTAGGGAAACAGAATCTCATATTTACAATAAGCAATTTGTAGCTGTTAGCCTCACTCATAAGGATCAAATTGGTGGCTAAAATAAACACCAATGTATAAGTTTACATAGTACCTATGGGTGTACATAATATAATAAGAATTCCATAGATATCTGTTAAATTAAACTAAGGTTTTTTTTTTTTTCTCTAACCCATCTTATAAGTTTGACTCATGCCTGTAATCCTAGCTACTCAGCAGGCAGAGACCAGGAGGATTGCAGTTCAAAGTCAGCCCAGGCAAATAGTTGTAAGACTGTATCTTAAAAATACCCAACATAAAAAGGTCTGGTGGAGTGGCTCAAGTGTTAGAGCACCTGCCTAACAAGTGTGGCCCTGAGTTCAAACCCCAGTACACCAAGAAAAAAAAGAAGTTTGAGAACTGGACAAGTATGAGCAGCTCATGAAAGAGCTACCTAAGAAAAGCTTCCATGAGTCTACTTTTTTCTATCTTTTTCTTATTACTCATAGTTTTAGTCTCATAGGCACCAAATACCTTTACATTTAAACATATCAATGCTAAAGCTGGGTGGGAGCCATTGCAATGCTTTTAACAGCAAAAAAAAAAATACCTGAGCTACATCTTCTATTTAACTTCTATCAACTTTTGACAAATATTTAAGCATGTAGTATCAGTCAGTAAGGATCCATGGTACAAATTTAGCACTTATGTTGCCTCTTGCTCAAGAAGGTTGGTAAGTCATTTCACTGACCAAAGACCCAGAAGTTCTTTCATTCACTGAGAAATACAACCTCTTCTGCAGCCAAGTCAGGAAGGGTGAGAAGTCTAACAAAGTTTTGGCAAATCAAAGTGACTGATCAAAGCTTCAGGCTTGGCTGGGCATGGTGGTATAAGTGTTTAATTCCAACATTCAGAAGGTGGTAGGAGAAGCATGAGTTAGAGACCAGCCTGGAGACTCAAAACACACACACACACATACACACACACAAACTTTCAAGTTTCATGGTTCTCAGGAAAACACCTTGTGGGTCTGCCTTTTCTTTTTTTGATTAAGAAAATTCGAAGGCAAGTATGGGGGCTCACACCTCTAATCCTAGCTATATGAGAGGCTGAGATCAGGAGTATTGCAGTTTGAGGCCATGCCAGGCAAATAATTCTCAAGATTCCATTTTCAAAATAACAGAGCAAATGGACTGGAGGTGCTGCTCAAGTGGTAGAGCACCTGCCTGGTAAGCATGAAGCTCTGAGTTCAAATCCCATTCCACCAAAAAGAAGAAAAAAGAAAATTCAGAAGCTATTCTTCCTGACAAAAGCACTTCCACCCTATCTAGATACCAATGCCCATCTCCTAGTCTTAAAGAACCTGGTGGAATGTTGACCAGAGCTGTAGGCTAAATGTGGCAGAGTGTGAAGGTTGGTGTGCTTACAAGAGTAGGGTAGGTTGGGAGATTCTGTCTCTCATCTTGAGGCTCTCTGAGGGCATTGTCTCTCTTTTATGAGGCTTTTTCTCCCCACTCCTGCCACATGTGCACATGTATATACACACACACACACATATACACATACACACAAATGGCCATTACACCTTACACAAGGGAAACAGGTTAACTGACAAGGTACTAGTCTACTAAAAGTGCAAATTCAGAACTGGGGACACAGTTCAGTGGTAATATACGTTCAGTATGTGTGAGACCCTGGGTTTGATCTCCAACAACAACAACACACACATGCAAATCCAGGGAAAGAAACCCAATCTAGATATTTAAAGACCAGACAAATAAATATAAGCATATCAAGGTATCTATACATGAAAAGCCCAGAGGCTGGTGAACTTACCAAGAACAATTCTTCTTGGTGAAAGGTCTGAGCTTCTAGAAGGTGTCGCAGCTAAGTGGGACCAGCTCTCCAGGAAATCTGGCGGCAGTGTGTTTAGTCTGTTGCTTGATAAATCCAAATAGGCAAGGTTCTTCAGATACCTGACCACCTCAGGTGGCACACGGGTTAGTCTGTTGTTGTGCAAGTCCAGTGTCCTCAGATGAGGCATGTCTAGCAGAGACACCCAAGGGAAGGTAGCCAGAGAATTCCCCTCCAAACGCAACTCGTGGAGCTGCTTCAGGTTGTAGAAGCTGCTGGGGTCGATGCTGGCCACAGAGTTGTAAGTGAGCCAGAGGTGCTGGAGCTCCACCAGGTAGTAGAAGGCCTCGGCGGGAATCCTGCGAATCACTGTCTTCTCTATGCGAAGTTTCCAAGTGTCCACAGGGAAGTTTGTAGGGACTTCGTTCATGTCCAGGTCATTACATAGCACTGACCTAGTGTCACAAGAGCAATGCAAGGAGACCCACTTTCCAAGACTAATTCGAAAAACTAATCCTTATTTAAAACACGTATGAAATTTTCATCCCCTAGTGTTTTCACAAAATATTCAATCTAGCTAATTTATAATCAGCATCCTTACCATCGCCTTCTTCATCATCATAAGCATGACGGCCACAACTACTAGGTCGAACCATATAAAATGGTACATTTTATTGAAAGGGTCAAATATCAGTAATCTCATGTGGCTCAACCTGATAAATACGGAGCTCTTTCCATGCCAGGCCTAGGTAACGCAGGTCACATTCATTACCTTATTAATCATCACAATAGTCCTGAGAGGTAGATGTTAGGTCTGACTTTGCTCAGATCTAAGCTCTGCCACCTCCTCTGTGGCCAAAGTCACTTGACCAGACACAGGCAGTGGGATTTTCCTATATGGCACAACCATGATGCTTAATTTAAATGGCTGTCAGATTCTATACCTTCTTAGCACATAGTAAGCACTCAGTAGGTGCTTATTGCTATCACCAACGACCTCAAATTTACATCTCTAATATCTGAGGCCCACCACTGTTTGGTGACTTCCCAAGGTCACCTAGTCAGTGAGTTACAGAGCTACCTTCCTGACTCACTTCTATCCAACTCCAAAACACATCCCTTTAGGAAATAGCCCTTGTTAAAAGAATCCCCTGTTAAAATCATAAATTGATCTCTTTTTTATCAGAAAAAAAGTGTACATACTAGATGTTTAAAGTTGAACTCTGCTTTAACAACATGACCTGTGCATTGCTTTCTACCTAAGGAATAAATCAGAAAGTGAATCTATTCCGTTAGGCCCTCACTAACTAAAGTGACCTGAACAAGTCAGATTGTGACCTTGTTTGTTGGTATTTGTAAAACAGGCATAAAAAACAAGTTGTCCACGTGTGGGTTTAAGTATGAGGAATCTGAGACCTTAGTCTCATTTTAGTCTGAAAAAGGACTTACTCATCTCCCATACTACACTCATCTTAATTGCTGACAATGGATAATAAACAGTCTTGCAAAATTTCATCTAAATTATGTTACAATAGACAGCAAATCAGAACAAAAAAATGGCCTTTCAATAAAACATTACATTAAACTGGTGACGTTTAAAAGCCAGCCTATGCTATAAACAGAGGCAAGCAGGATAAAGCTTCGAGATCCTGACAGTGTTCTCTTTTCTATAACTTTAGATCCTGTGGAATCATTGACATTCCTGGGAATAACGCTTTACTCTTCATCTTTCATTTATATCACAAATGTCAGTGCTACTTCATACCAGAATGACAGCAGTTTCTACCCAATTAATAAGCATTTCAGTGTGTAATAATAGAAAGAAGCCTACACTGAAGGCTAGAAGACCTAGCATCTTAACCAACTCCGTCAAACATCAACACAAGTCTGTGATCTAGGACAAGTCATTTTGCCCCTGACTGCTTGGTTTACTCACTTATAAAATGACAGGGGTTGAACTAGATCATCTCTAGAGTTCTTGTCAGGGAGAATAGCCCATGATTTTTGTAAAATCCATCAATAATAGGGCCAGTGCAAGGAAGGAAATATTTCTGGTAGTGTTCTCAAAAGTACCTTGGCCTGGTTATCAACTGCTACACATCCCTAGGTAAATAGGTCTTTAACTTGCTGTATTGTTTCCATTATCTTTAACCACCCCATGAGTACCTCAAGAAGATAAGCAAGAACTGGGTACAGAAAGCTTATACAACAGCAAGGCAAATTATGCACTTACAAATAAATTATGATTGTTAATATTATCATTATTATTTTGACTGTGCTGGGGAGCTGGGGATCAAACCCAAAGCCTCACACATGCTAGGCAAGTGCTTTACCACTAATTATTATTCTTTTATTTTTTATTTACTTTTTGTAAATTTTTTATTTTTGTGTTAGGGATACAAAAGTTCTTACAATGCATGAATATATCATACTTGAATTCACTCCCTCCATCATTCTCCTTTATCCTTCTCCCCCATATTATTATTCTTTTAAACTCAAGCTATTCTTTGTTTTTGTGTTTTGGTTGGTTTTTTTTTCTGCAGTACTGGGGCTTGAACTCAGGGCCTTCATTTTGAGCCACTCCACCTGCCCTTATTTTATTTTATTGTGATGGTTTTTTTCGAGACAGAGTCTTGTGAACTATTTGTCTAGGCTGACTTTGAACTGAGATCTTCCTGAGCTCTTCCTTGTGAGTTGCTAGGAATACAAGCGTGACCCACCAGTTCCTGGCACTATTTTTTTATTACTTTGTTCAAAAGACTAATCATTTGCTTTTACTAATGAAGTCACATCTAATCTGATTTTGTTATTAAATACCTTCTCAAAAAGAATCAAGCAGAAAATAATAGAGGTGATGAACCAAACCTGGGTGTAATATGTACATATATGGAAATATCACAATGAAACCCCCTTCACATACTAATAAAAATCTTTTTAAAAAGATAACTTTCCCACCGAGAAAGCCAAAGTTTGATGAAAAATACATGGCTCTTAATTAGCTTTTAATTCCTGTAGAAGAAACAACAAAAATAAACTAATTTTATCTCCCTGGGGAAAAAATCAAAGTCTATCATGTTTAGCTAGTAAGACTCCTATTTTGCATTTAACTTACATCTTAAAGTTCTCATGGGCATTATAAACAAATTACATGTTAAACCCACATAGATTAAATGACTTCTATGAGGTCCTATAGTGTCTGCAAGAGATAGTTGAAACGTCTACTTTGTTAATTCCATTAGTTAAAATGAAAAAAATCTAATTATGAAGCTAACTTTATTCCTGTGATCTTCCTTCCCACTGTCCAGGCATTGGCATGAATGATCCTCAAATGAAATGGGAAACTGATAGCACACACAGCCATCGTTCCTGCCCAGATGGATGCTCTTAGGCCTTCTAAAACCAAGGCCTGATCTGGACACACACATTGAAGACAGCTTGACCTCCTGAAAGGGATATTCTGTGAGTAGGAGTATAGTGAATATTTTTGCAATACAGAATGTGTTTGAGAATTTCAAATAGCTTGTGAGACTTTTGAGAGTTAAACTGCCAAAATGAAAAATAATAAAGCAGTAGACAACCAGCATGAATACACTGAAGCTAAAACATCTGTAAATGAAGTCTTCTTTGATTTCTGGTAATCAAACAATTTGCTTTTGCAATAAGGCTGATTTGTTTGAGTCCTTTTAATGAAATAACTAGAACACTTAGTAGCAAGGAAAGGAGCGTACCTTGATCCTGAGCCATCATATCTGCCGTGATAATCACAGGTGCACTGAGCAGGACACGAACAGCACACTGCTTCCAGAAAGCTAAGCACAATGTACAGACATCCAAAAGGTCGCATGGCTCCTGTTAGGAGTTATTTGAATAAAAAGTAAAAACCAAATCCTAAGCATTCAGAAACTGGTGTTCCAGAAATGCAAGTCGTCATTTAGTGACAGCAGATTACAGGGGATTAGCTGAGCTCTGGAGTTACTTAACCTTCAAGTGTATTTTGCAAGGGATCAATCTGCCCAGCCTTTGAATAAGGCTTCAGCAAAGTAACACCTTCTAAGGAAAATGAAGATCCAGCCCGTCAGGACAATTTCAATAGTTGCCCATAACTAGACTTGCGAGGACATAACTAATAAGTCCCTTTCCCGTGGATATAATTGTCACTACAATTATATATAATATATATATAAATATATAATATTTATATATATATATATATAAAATATATATTTAGGGCTGATGGAGTGGCTCAAGTGGTAAAGCGCCTGCCTAGCAAGCATGAGACCCTGAGTTCAAACCCCAGTACTGCCAGAAAAAAAAAATATATATATATGTATATACACACACACACATATAATGTTAAAAAGAATGCAGTATCCTGGCAGAAGTTAGAAAATTCTTCAACGTATTTACATATGCACTATAACTTTTTTTCCAGTGCTGGAATTGAACCCAGGGCCTTGCACATGCTAGGCAAGCACTCTATCACTTGAGCCACACACCCCCAACCCTTTTGTTTTTCTTTTGCTTTTGAGACAGAGTGTCACGGCTAACTCTGCCCAAGCTAGCCTCGAATACACAAACCTCCTGCCTCCACCTGCTGACTAGCTGGGATTACTGGTGTGCACTACCAGGTTTATAAATTGGAGTGGTTTCCACAGGAAATCAATGTGAGTCAATGCCCTGTATAGCTATCCTTATCTCAACCAGCAAAACCCCTTGTTCCTTCCTATTATTGCTTATACTCTCTCTACAACAAAATTAGAGATAAGGGCAAAATAGTTTCTGCTGGGTATTGAGGGGGGGGAGTGGGAGGGGGTGGAGTGGGTGGTAAGGGAGGGGATGGGGGCAGGGGGGAGAAATGAACCAAGCCTTGTATGCACATATGAATAATAAAAGAAAAATAAAAAAAATAAATAAATAAATAAATTGGAGTGGTTGGGTTTTTTTTGCATTTTCTTTTTACTAGTATGTATGACATTCAACTTTATAAAATTTTAAAAATAGAGGCACATGACATAAGATTGATTTAGAATAGAGTTACCAATGTAATCACATACTGGCTATCTCCAAAATCAGAGTGAACTAAGCCCAGGTCATAGAGATTTAAGAGAAACCTCTTCATTCCACCTCTGGTGTGTTAGGACTACAACTCCAGTGACATTGTGTCCTGAGACTCTTCCAGATCCTCTCAGTGTGTACAAGGTTTGTCCCACCAAGTTGTTTCTAATGGAGGCAGTTATTTCTGCCCCAGAATATATTTTATTCTAAACTAGTTTCCCAGGTTTTGGGCATCAAAACCATATTTAAAGAGCAATTGTCAGCCAGGTGCACTTAGCTCATGCCTGTAATCCTAGCTACTTTGAGCTTGTGGTTTGAGACCAGCCTGGGCAAAAAAGTTTGTGAGGATGCATCTCAGTGTAAAAGAGCTGGGCATGGTGGCACATGTCTATCATAGCAGTAAGAGCAAGAAGTGGTGCAGACCAGCCTGGTCAAAAAGCAAGATCCTATCTCCAAAATTCCCAGAGCAAAAAGAGCTGGAGGTATAACTCAAGCAGTAAACCACCTACTTAGCAAGTGCAAAGTCCTGAGTTCAGACCCCAGTACATCCAAAAAAAAAGAAAGAGAAAACAATTGTCACATCTTTTAGCAATATTAGACTGTAGTAGAAAATAAGACTTTAAAAATTACCACCACACATAAAATGAAGACTCTACCAGGGCAGCCAAGGATTTAATCATTATATTGTATGATTCCATCTGTCAACTTTAAACCAAAAACTTTGTAAAGGAAAATTAATTCTATAAAAATAAGAACATTATAGGAAATATTATTGAAAAACTAATAGAATTCATGTACATAGATTGTAAAAAAACTTTGTTCAATTAAAATAACGTTCTGCATTTTTTCAGATTCTTCACAATTCATTTCTTCATCAAATATTTATTTGTTCATCAAATATCTATTCTGTGAAGCACTGAACATACAAAGATGAATAAGTAACTGTTCATAGAGACTCACATGATAAAGAGAGACACAGAGTAATGAAGAAGACAAGAGAACACATCAAACCCCGCCGAATTGTGAGTGGTAGGTACCTGAGCTGTGTCTTATAGGATGCATGTTAATGTATTATGAGAAAATCAGGAAAGAGGCATTGCAAGCAGAGGTAACAGCAGGAACAAAGTAAGAGAAACAAGAAGCATTATGTTGTCCTCAGAAAACCATAAGCACACTCTGGTACGCAGGCCTAAGATTCTGAGGCAAAAGTTACACACAATGACGAAAAGTAAAGCTTGAGGAGTAAACAAGAATGAGGTTATGAAGAAGGACCTTAGATTCCCTAATAACTCTGTTCAGCCTGTAGGTGACAAAAGCATAAGGGTTAGGCTGAAAGTTGCACATCAGATCATCATATTAGGAAGAATTTTCTGGCAGTGAGGAGGAAAGGTTCAGATACAGCAAGCAGGAAGAGCTGGAGTTTTTATGTGGACAGCAGCAATTATGGTCTAGGTGAGCTGCAACTTTCTATGCTGGTAACAGTGAAGATAATGCAATTTTAGGAAACATCAAGGAAGAAATACTTGATTACTTGTGGGATGATGAGAAGATTTAGGACAGCTCTAAGTTTTCCCAGCTGGAGATACAGCAATAGGTGGTGACTCTGAATACTTGTGCACAAGAGGAATAAGACATGGGGGATGGAGGGGTAGGTAGAGCTCTGATCACTAAGTAACCAAAATGTTTTTAAATTATTAATTTTATGAATGTTATGGTCTACATAGAATTGAATATAGAAAAGCTGTTAAAACATCAAGTTAGTAGAAGCTTACAGGGAGCTATGTAACCAAACCCAAGTCTTCCTAATCTTATCATATAAGCCAATTAATTGATTAATGGAGTATGAAAATATTAGCACACTGTTGAAGTCCTTTATACTTAAGGCAAAATTACCCTATGCTTATTGCTGGAAGTGAGTTCAAGGCTTAGTAAATTGGAACTCAGAATCAATTTTCTAAACAATATGACAAGTATTGTCTCAGTCATTTAATTGCTCTGTTACTTTGGACAGAGACCCTCGCCGTGCTTTCTCTGCAAAAGACTTAGCTGTAGGGGTCAGGATGAGCAAAGAGCTAGAGGCATAAAACATTCAGAACTCTCTGGCAACACTAGACTTTAATTTGGTAATTGGAGAAAGACAAAAAGCTGAAAAGTCCCTTTGAGCCATGTTGAAGACCATCTTGAAAATCCAACTGAAGGATTCATACTTATTGGACACTCAATTGAAAGGTTTTGAGCTGAAGATTTGAGGGATTGGAAATTTGTTTTTAAAAGATTGGAGGGGTGGGGATGTAGCTCAGTGGTAGAGCACTTGCCTATCATGTGTAAGGCACTGGGTTAAATTCCCAGCACTGCAAAAAAAAAAAAGATTGGTTATAAAGTCAATGTGCTGATGCAGTGGAGGAAGGCAGAGGGTGTGTAGCGAACTAAACTAGGAGATTATTATAGCAGCTTATCAATGAATGTACATAGACATTGTATAAAACTAATACCCAGATTTTATTTTATTTACTATGAAGCCAAAGGAAATAAGGAGACACTTTATAAAAACAAAAAAGAGACAAGAAAATACAACATTCAATGAAACACAGCCTTACTAACACTTAAAAAATGTGAAATAAAATGAATTATATATTATAACATATACTCAGTTTAAAATATAATGATACAGCATTATAAGCAGGAGTGTGAGGTGAAAAGCACAGTTACACAATGTCAACACAGTGTACATTAATTCTTTCCAGAGAGCAAGCTAGCAGCAATGATACTACTGTTCCCATATTTGTATCTAAGTATAGTCTGAAGACAGGCTCAAGTAAAATGGCCTCTGCCAAACAAAAAAAGTTATTTGTACTAAAATGTTCCCAGTTGTACATTCATGAAAAGTAAAGATTGGAAGCAATTTAGATGTCCACTAAGTAAAAAAAATGGTTCATTGTGCTATGTTTAATAGTCACTTAAGATGACAAATTTATGAGTCTACATATTCATTCAATAAATATTTATTGAGCGCCTACTATGTGACAAATAGAATGGGTCTAAGAGCTAAGAATGTATCAAAAACAAATGTGCAACACTTCCAACTCTGATTGAATTTAATTGTAGTGGCAAATATAGGGAAATACATATGCGATAAAATGGTAATTACAATTATAGAATGCATAACAAAATGCACTGATATTATATATTGCTATATAAAATATACATGTGCATTGACTTTATTTAAAAGGAATAGTATTTAGCATTACTTTATTTTTATTAAATAAGTTATACCGATATTTCATTTTAAATTTCAAATTTTCAAAATGCTAAAAATGTTTTCTATTCCAGCTAGGAACATTGAACAACATATTTCAGTAATTATTTATTGAGGATTATGTATTTTTTTATTAAAATTAATTCATCCTACTAGTCAAATACTGGCTATTTCTAGTCTAATGGAGAACTTGGGCAAGTGACAGGTAATGCACTCCTTATAAAGACAAAAAATGGGACCTTAATCTAATGTGCCTAGATTCATCAAAGGAGGTGAGCAATAAGTTCTCACATAGGGAAATCAGAAACATGAACTACTGCAGCCAAAGCCCAAACAGAACTGTAAGCTGCATGTGAGGAACTTACAGTCTAACAGGACAATAATATGTCTGCACTTGATCTTAATGGGTTTACATTTTTAAAAAAATTAAAGCATTGCAAAAACACAAAATAAAATGTTTAAGACTGTATGCTTTTGTCTTATTTCAGATTCTTCCAGAAGCCAATGGGCTTTGAGACACATCCATTGGTAAA